ACCTTGAGAGGTCAAATGAGTGTTGGGAAAGTAAGATTAGATTCTGGCGAGTCGATTGGTGCCATTTTTAGCGCTCTAGCTCTACTGGGTGGGCCACAATCTGCTGTGCAAATTTGGGCCACGTGACCTTTTCTGACCTCTCTAGGTCAAACGGCTGGGAGTGCCACCGAATGACTTGGACTGTGGATCGGGCATGTCATGGCCTACATTGTGTGCGAGTTTCAGCTTGATCGGAGGTGTCCCGAATCTGGGCTGAATCCGGGCTGCGACGTATTGAGTGTCGTTTATTTGCACATTTTGACCTGCCGAGGTCAAACGGGGTCACATATCGAAAAGCGGTTTTTAAGGAAAGTTACTACGGCCTATGGGCTACCGGATGATGTGCTTTGATTTGGAATTCGGTCAATCCATCTACTCGAAAACTGCTGTGCAAGTGCATTTTCGACATAGCCCACAAATGACCTTAGGTCATCGCATGACCTTGAGAGGTCAAATGAGTGTTGGGAAAGTAAGATTAGATGCTGGCGAGTCGATTGGTGCCATTTTTAGCGCTCTAGCTCTACTGGGTGGGCCACAATCTGCTGTGCAATTTTGGGCCACGTGACCTTTGCTGACCTCTCTAGGTCAAACGGCTGGGAGTGCCACCGAATGACTTGGACTGTGGATTGGGCATGTCATGGCCTACATTGTGTGCGAGTTTCAGCTTGATCGGAGGTGTCCTGAATCAGGGCTGAATCCGGGCTGAGACGTATTGAGTGTCGTTTATTTGCACATTTTGACCTACCAAGGTCAAACGGGGTGACATATCGAAAAGCGGTTTTTCAGGAAAGTTACTACGGCCTATGGGCTACCCGATGAAATGCTTTGATTTGGAATTCGGTCAATCCATCTACTCGAAAACTGCTGTGCAAGTGTATTTTTGACATAGCCTACAAATGACCTTAGGTCATCGCATGACCTTGAGAGGTCAAATGAGTGTTGGGAAAGTAAGATTAGATGCTGGCGAGTCGATTGGTGCCATTTTTAGCGCTCTAGCTCTACTGGGTGGGCCACAATCTGCTGTGCAAATTTGGGCCACGTGACCTTTGCTGACCTCTGTAGGTCAAACGGCTGGGTGTGCCACCGAATGACTTGGACTGTGGATTGGGCATGTCATGGCCTACATTGTGTGCGAGTTTCAGCTTGATCGGAGTTGTCCCGAATCAGGGCTGAATCCGGGCTGAGACGTATTGAGTGTCGTTTATTTGCACATTTTGACCTGCCGAGGTCAAACGGGGTGACATATCGAAAAGCGGTTTTTAAGGAAAGTTACTACGGCGTATGGGCTACCCGATGATGTGCTTTGATTTGGAATTCGGTCAATCCATCTACTCGAAAACTGCTGTGCAAGTGTATTTTCGACATAGCCTACAAATGACCTTAGGTCATCGCATGACCTTGAGAGGTCAAATGAGTGTTGGGAAAGTAAGATTAGATTCTGGCGAGTCGATTGGTGCCATTTTTAGCGCTCTAGCTCTACTGGGTGGGCCACAATCTGCTGTGCAAATTTGGGCCACGTGACCTTTTCTGACCTCTCTAGGTCAAACGGCTGGGAGTGCCACCGAATGACTTGGACTGTGGATCGGGCATGTCATGGCCTACATTGTGTGCGAGTTTCAGCTTGATCGGAGGTGTCCCGAATCTGGGCTGAATCCGGGCTGCGACGTATTGAGTGTCGTTTATTTGCACATTTTGACCTGCCGAGGTCAAACGGGGTCACATATCGAAAAGCGGTTTTTGAGGAAAGTTACTACGGCCTATGGGCTACCGGATGATGTGCTTTGATTTGGAATTCGGTCAATCCATCTACTCGAAAACTGCTGTGCAAGTGCATTTTCGACATAGCCCACAATTGACCTTAGGTCATCGCATGACCTTGAGAGGTCAAATGAGTGTTGGGAAAGTAAGATTAGATGCTGGCGAGTCGATTGGTGCCATTTTTAGCGCTCTAGCTCTACTGGGTGGGCCACAATCTGCTGTGCAATTTTGGGCCACGTGACCTTTGCTGACCTCTCTAGGTCAAACGGCTGGGAGTGCCACCGAATGACTTGGACTGTGGATTGGGCATGTCATGGCCTACATTGTGTGCGAGTTTCAGCTTGATCGGAGGTGTCCTGAATCAGGGCTGAATCCGGGCTGAGACGTATTGAGTGTCGTTTATTTGCACATTTTGACCTGCCAAGGTCAAACGGGGTGACATATCGAAAAGCGGTTTTTCAGGAAAGTTACTACGGCCTATGGGCTACCCGATGATGTGCTTTGATTTGGAATTCGGTCAATCCATCTACTCGAAAACTGCTGTGCAAGTGTATTTTTGACATAGCCTACAAATGACCTTAGGTCATCGCATGACCTTGAGAGGTCAAATGAGTGTTGGGAAAGTAAGATTAGATGCTGGCGAGTCGATTGGTGCCATTTTTAGCGCTCTAGCTCTACTGGGTGGGCCACAATCTGCTGTGCAAATTTGGGCCACGTGACCTTTGCTGACCTCTGTAGGTCAAACGGCTGGGTGTGCCACCGAATGACTTGGACTGTGGATTGGGCATGTCATGGCCTACATTGTGTGCGAGTTTCAGCTTGATCGGAGTTGTCCCGAATCAGGGCTGAATCCGGGCTGAGACGTATTGAGTGTCGTTTATTTGCACATTTTGACCTGCCGAGGTCAAACGGGGTGACATATCGAAAAGCGGTTTTTAAGGAAAGTTACTACGGCGTATGGGCTACCCGATGATGTGCTTTGATTTGGAATTCGGTCAATCCATCTACTCGAAAACTGCTGTGCAAGTGTATTTTCGACATAGCCTACAAATGACCTTAGGTCATCGCATGACCTTGAGAGGTCAAATGAGTGTTGGGAAAGTAAGATTAGATGCTGGCGAGTCGATTGGTGCCATTTTTAGCGCTCTAGCTCTACTGGGTGGGCCACAATCTGCTGTGCAAATTTGGGCCACGTGACCTTTGCTGACCTCTGTAGGTCAAACGGCTGGGAGTGCCACCGAATGACTTGGACTGTGGATTGGGCATGTCATGGCCTACATTGTGTGCGAGTTTCAGCTTGATCGGAGTTGTCCCGAATCAGGGCTGAATCCGGGCTGAGACGTATTGAGTGTCGTTTATTTGCACATTTTGACCTGCCTAGGTCAAACGGGGTCACATATCGAAAAGCGGTTTTTAAGCAAAGTTACTACGGCCTATGGGCTACCGGATGATGTGCTTTGATTTGGGATTCGGTCAATCCATCTACTCGAAAACTGCTGTGCAAGTGTATTTTCGACATAGCCTACAAATGACCTTAGGTCATCGCATGACCTTGAGAGGTCAAATGAGTGTTGGGAAAGTAAGATTAGATGCTGGCGAGTCGATTGGTGCCATTTTTAGCGCTCTAGCTCTACTGGGTGGGCCACAATCTGCTGTGCAAATTTGGGCCACGTGACCTTTGCTGACCTCTCTAGGTAACGGCTGGGAGTGCCACCGAATGACTTGGACTGTGGATTACGCATGTCATGGCCTACATTGTGTGCGAGTTTCAGCTTGATCGGAGGTGTTCCGAATCTGGGCTGAATCCGGGCTGAATCTGGGCTGAATATGGGCTGTCTTGATCAACATCAAGAGCATGTAGGTACGGCCATAATTAAAGGGACCCTCCCACCTTCAAAAAAGTTAATGAATTGGCATGAAAGTGATGTCGCTCGGTTCAGAAAGAGCAAAAATGAATATCTACCAAATTTCATCGAAAAATATTCACCGATATTCAAGATATTAGACTTTTACTTTTGTTTACTTTTTGGGATCTCCGCTGTTCCTAGCGACTTTATTTGAAAGTGCGGCATTTGTTGCGCGCAAAGCAGCGTATACCACCGCGTGCTGCCAAACGTTTTAGTAAAAGATTTAAAAATCGTTAGATCTCCGCTGACGTCACAAATTCTAAGGGGGCATACCAATGCATTAGCCCCTTAGAATCCGAAAACTGCAAGTTTGAAATTCCATATCTCCGAATTAAAGCATTTTTCGATGTTGTGAATGCCCAAACCGGTATTTTCAGGCCATGGCCACCAATTTGGCTATCTCAACTCAAAACTAATGTTAAGGTGGGAGGGTCCCTTTAATGTAGGAGCGTATCCGCGGCTATGCATAGGTACGCTTTATCTGTAACTACGTGCGCCGATCGACTCTGGAAACGATCCAAATCTTGATCATGCAGTGCGTCGACAGTTTCTAACATAGCTAGGCTTGGCATCTAGTCACTCATCCATACGGTCGTCGCCCATCCAACTACCACGCCGTCTAGCTCGTTGGAGTTTGGACGGAACTCTGCGACCGTGTCGGCGTCGGCGTCGGTGAGTCGACCCGAATAAACATCACTAGCACCGCGCTCCAGCAGCCTAAACACTCCCCTGAGCAGTGAGCTGAGGTGGCCGGCCCGACAACCGGCACTCTGTGCCACTGGGGGATACGCGACGAATGAGTCATGAGAAGTGGTCAAAATACTGAGGACTGGAGTGCAAAACACGCAGCTTAAATGGCCGAGTGCAGTGTGACACGTATAGTCACTCGTCACTCGTCAGTACGTAATGCGCCAGAAAAATACCATTGGCACTTGGCAGGTGGAACCAAGCACTTTTATTATATTTATAGGCAGTTCTAAGTATTATTCGTTGAGAATACGAAGTAGATGGTTGATTCACCTTAACTGTCCTAAAACCAGTCCGTAATTGTCAGGGCACTTGTCCATTTTCCAGGCACACGATTACGTGCTATGCGGGTTGCCTACCTTACAAACGTACCACAAAAGGAACGTCAGACCGGTAAATCATTCCAATTCTTCAGCTCTCACGACGAAAAAAGCAGCTCAAAACTCGTTTTCTTGGACGTCTTCGGGCCTTAGGTATCCATAACGCGTTCACTTGTTGGCTTGGTCCGTCCCATTTCAATACTTTCACTCCCATTTAAAAAAGGGTGCATACAATGGTCAACTGTATTTGTATCTCAATACACGTTAACAGCGGCCCGTTATTTGCTGTTTATCGCTCGGCCGTGACTCACGTTTCACGGCCTTCATCACGAGCAGGAACACGCACAAAACAATCTCATTCACTGGATCGGGACTGATAAATTAACGCACGTGTGTGTGCGTGCGGGGCACCGGAGCGTGAGTCGACCGACACTGACCACTGGCGGTGCCTCGAGCGACCTGACGCGACCACAAACCCTCTGCAGCGGATCAGACACACCCCAACCCACCGCCAACCGACACCATACGGGCACCAGTCTCAACACGGATCCAACGCGAAAGCACGGAACATGAGTCACAGTCATCCCCTCTGGGTCGCGCAGGCGCCGTCTGGACATGCACTACCTTCAGGTGCAGCTCAAAAACACATCTGGAACATTCCCGAGCGGCGCCGGTGGAGCCGTTTGGCCGGCGCTCGGGCGCGCGTGAGCACTGCGCGCTGGTGCGACTAGGAAAGGCGGATCTGCGGCCGGACGCGGGTGTCGTGCCGGCCCTAGTTCGGCCGGCACGTTCGGTGGGCCTCGGCTACCGCTGCAGGGAGCGGCGCAGAGAGCGCCACGACTCGTACTTGGCGTAGGCCGCCGAGAGCATCTGGTTCAGATGGGCCGTGACCTCGGGGCCCAGGCCGGCCTGGCGGCACACCGTGTCCTGGGGAGGGGTGGAGGGGGTCAGACGCGGGCGGAGCGGGGGGCGTGTCCGAAGCGCAGGCCCTCCGAGGTCAGAGCGGAAAAGGCGCCGTGCGGTCATAATCTCGTAATGTGATGTAGTTAGTTTCAGCTGGGCACCATGAACACACGCCTGACAACGGATCCTGACCTCGAAAGAAACACACATGAGAACGTAAACATTTAGGAACGGCGTGTTCAGGATTCATTCCACAACCATCAAGATTTAGACGAGAAAAGCGTTCGTAAACGAAACTTTGCAGCTAGTTAAAATTAGCGCCGACGGAAAAGGAATGAAGCTGTGACTGTTAAGTTGAAACTGACTGCATTCGTCCGAAAAAATCAACCGATTCGTTTACTGGTGAAAAATATAGGGGAGAGTGGGGCACATTCGTGCATGGGGCACATTCGTTTTCAGCAGTTTATGGGAACACGAGTGACTGCACGAGCTCAAGGTAAATTATGGAAATATGTCTATCATTGCCGCCCTTCGTTCCCCGTAGAAGACAACACTGTACCTGCTGTCATGCTTGATAAAAACGCAAATTTTTAATATTCGCGAGCTTTCCAAACTTTTCTCATATCATCCATTTTCGTGATCCTGACTCGGAAATGTGGTTCAGCTTTTCAAAATTGGGGGTGAAGAAGCCCACTCTATTCACGGAACTGCTGCAAACTTGTTTGTTGAAAAAGTGTCATTTTTTCAAAAATAAATTTTGAAATATATTACTAATAACGTTGTGGGGCAGGTTCGTGTACGCACTGCCTGGGGGCACATTCGTGCATATTTTTTTAGTTTTTGCGATTTATGACTTTATCTGTAGTAGGTTTCTCTAATGACGCTCGCCTGACTCAGTCTCGACTGCTTGCGACGTCGTGACGAGCAATTCACGCGAACTTGGCGAGGTCTTGGCCGGCAGTTGGCGAACTTGGCCGGCAGTTGGCACATTCTTGTTGGCCAGCCCATTCTTTCTACATTTGTTGTGCAATGCATTCTTGTCGAAAGGAATCAAGTGAAATGACCCCCTGCCAATTTCCTTTGGTAAATTTCTGGTAATGCCCGGTAATTTCTCGAATTTTGCCGGGTGAACGGAAGTGCCCCATCTCTTGAACGAATGTGCCCCATAGGTGGGGCAGTTTCGTGCAAATGTTCAGAGTTAATAAAAGTCATTTTTTCTAATGGAAGCAATAATTTTATAGGATAACTTTTAAAGAGGAAAACTATCTGCAATAGTTCCTGTCCATACTACAATCAACAATTTTGCCATTGCACTAACCAAAGAACAGATATATGGGTTTATCCATTTTTTGCACGAATGTGCCCCACTCTCCCCTATGCATTTAAATGGCAGAAACGATCAAACCCAAAACATATCACATTGGCATGCTGCTTACGTCAATCAGAAATATCCAATAGCCCTCATCATTAACACCTTCACATTTAAGTTATTAGTAAAACATGCTGTTGTCCCATTATCTATGCAATTAGTATCGTATTACACGAGAGTTGGGAGCACTGCATGATGTTGATGAGCCGAGTTGCTTGGGTGGCCCACTCAGAGCCCTGTCCTTGGACCCAGAGGCCCGACTGGCTGGCACTGCTGCCGGCGTGTTCTGCCGTCAGCCGGAATGAAAAACTTCCGGGGTGAGTGGCCTGATTCATTGAGATAACGAGCTGTTGCCGAGAGAGGCTGATGGGTGTGGATTTTCTGCTTACTGCATACTCTGAATGGTTTGTCATGTTGTAATAATGATGGGAAGAGCGGGAGCACCGTTCCGTGCTTCTATCCTCAGGAAACTGAAATCCTTCTCCTCCACGCCGCAACCCCCCTCCGGGCTGGACAGGCAACTTTATCTCATGCGGGCTGCTCCCTTGGAGCGGCACCGCTGCTCCCGAGGGAGCGCACCCCGTAGCCGGGTGCAGTGAGTGCCTTGGGGCTGGGTGGCCTGTCCTCTGGACGGGCTCAGCCCCGGCGACTCACTAGGGTGCCTGCCCAGACCAATGTCTCCCCCTATATCCTATCATCCTCCCGGCTCTGAAATGGTCTTAACCCGCGCGGGGCTGGGGTCTCCAGCCGAACGCGCGGGGCTGGGGGGGGGGGTAAATTTTACCCCCCTGTTATCTCCCGAACTAATGGTCCGATTTGGAAAATTCAAACGCCAATCGAAAGCTCTCATCACGAACTACTAAAAACATGTACTTAATTTAAAGTTTGAGGTCAAGGTCAAGGTCAGGTCAAGGGTACAAATTGCAAGTTTCTACAGTATCGGCCTTGCACCGTAGTTGCCGAAGAATGGAGTCATGGACTGAGACTGATCGCCCAAAACGTGTTCTTAGGCTACCAAGACAATATTCGTTGCATACAATATCATTCAGAGGTCAAGGTCAAGGTCAGGTCAGGTCAGGTCAGGTCACCAAAAAACAAAATATAGAAAAGGGCATGTGCGGCACATGTTTTATGGGTCATTTTACTCATAGAATTCAATAGGCACACTCAATAAGTGATATGGACCACCTCGGGATGAATTTCAGGTCGAGGTCAGGTCAAGGTCAGGTCAAGTGAGGTCAAATTTTGAAGTTGGTTGTTAAGGCCTAAAAAGGTGTCTATCTGATGCAGTTTTTCACGGCGAATCGAATGGTGCTATTTTTATTTCCGTACGAGGTCTAGAACTTCCAAAAAAGTCATTTTTCAAAAAATTTGTGTGTCGTGACGTCATAAAATTTTGAATAACTCCCACATTTTTGAACCGATTCTTCTAAAATTTGGTATGTAGGTGCACATAGACCACTTCTCTGACATATATTCCGGTTTTCGATAGACTCAAAATTTTGGATTTTATAAAGATTTTCCCAAAAAAGTCAGTTTTTTGAAAAAATTTAGGCCAAAATCCAAAATTTTCAAAAAACCGAGATAGCCATTTGATAGACAAAGTAAAATTACGTATAACCTTTTTTGTTACGTCTTGATTCCTTTAAAAATGAAGATGTTAGCGGCGTTTGAACTTTTGCCGTTTTTGAGGCGAAAATGGCGAACATGACGTCACTAAAACGTCAATTTCTCAGAAAATTTCCGACGGATTTCGCTCAAATTTTCAGGGAACGTGTCAAATTGATGTCAGAAAAGGTACTGAAAGTTTGGCGGCGCTGCGCGCCGCCGTTTTTGAGATATCGCAAAAATTCGCGAGGGGGGTAAAATTTACCCCCCAGCCCCGCGCGGGGCTGGACCGAAAGGGCCTAACCAAAAAAAAAAAAAAAAGAGCGGGAGAAGCGAGCTTTAGACAAGAACGATCATAGCATTTTTAATCAACATAACGAATGGCTTCATGTATTGTATATCCATGTCGCACACAAGCTGATATCTATAATATCTATATCTATATAGTATATTATATCTATAGAACCACTTTGATTCGCACTACAGTTGATTTACTTGCTAAGGAAATGTGTAAAGAAAACCTTATTAAACACTAACCTCAGGATAACAATTTCGCATAGATTTCTTCGACACATTTTAGTTAGCCGGTAAAAATAGCAGAAAATGAATTACATTTAAAGTAGCTACAATTCATTTATTCCAGCTAAACCAGCGTCCACAAAATTACAACCCCGACCCGGGTCAGAATACGTACTCTTAGTATCAGTAGCACTAAGCCCTGCATGTTTCTTATCTGTCTTATGTAATACTGAGTCCGTGTTTATATTGCACCAGACGACGTATGTTTACGCTACATAACACATTTGATAAAAACGGTGAAATAAACAGGATGTGCCAGTCCGTGAAAGACGACCAGTTGTAAATGTTTATTACGGCAGCTCACCAGTGTCTACCTCGATCCAGCTAGTCTTTCAGTGGCTCACACATTCTCACTTATCGCAAAAGCTATCAAAGATCCCTGTGATCTCATTTCCTTGCCATCCGGTGGCGCCATCAAGTCTTCTAGTTATGCATTGTTTATATGTGTATATCGAATTGAACTTGCCTGTATAACACCCAATAAACCGCCGGTGGAAACCGGAAGCGAACGAACGAACGAAAGATCGCTGATCAATAAAATACCTTTACAGAAATATTCGATTCGGGAAAGACTCGGGAAGGCTCGGTGAGACGAACTATTTCAACGATCAATTTGAATTAACACCTAATGCGCTTGGACGTGTCCTGGACAATCGGAAATAATACTATGTACTACATGTACTAGTACTCTATGTACTACTCATACGGATGAGTTTAATATTCACGGCAAATATGATAACAAACGGTAAATTCCTACGCACCGAACGATGCTGTTCGACGCATCTTTTCAATAAAAAACATGCCAAAGCTATGGCAAAATATTCCGTAACGCGGTACACGATCAACTTTTGTCGTCTCGTCAGAAAAGAAATAGAAATGCCAATACGATGCCCATAAACTTACACTTAACGAATTTGACCGGTATGTTGCATAATTACCAGCCGTTTCATGAAAAATTATCTACCAAGAAACCAAACTTATGCCCACAGCGTCTTACCTTACAACCGTCATGCATACGTCACAGTTAACATTGATGAAAATGAACCCATCCCTAAATCAAAAAAGGCCCATAGAGGTCTATTGCAACTACTTGGTAAACCACATCCTAATTGTTTGTTGGGTTAGCCCCACGTTAGCCCTTTCGGTCTGACAAGACAATTTCAGAGCCGGAAGGATGATAGGAATTAGGGGGAGACATTAGTTAGTCTGGGCAGGCATCCTAGCGAGTCATCGGGGCTGAGCCCGCCCCGAAGGACAGGCCGACCAGCCCCCCCCCCCCCCCTCCCCAAGTATTCGCTGCATCCGGTTAATCTATGCTCAGCAGATTATGAGCTGCAATAATTTCCATGATATATCGAATAAGTCTATATACCTACCACCCATTTAGCGGTCTGCGGTTTACATACATGTGTATGGTCTAATTTCTACAATGTCTCATCTGCGTAACTTACCTCAAAGTTTTGTATTTTGAGCTGGTGGAATTTATGTAGTGTGTCCTCCATCTTCGCTACCTTCTCCTCCAGAGCAGGCGTCGAGACGGGAAAGCACGCCCAGAAGTGCCGCAATAGTTCGCCCGCTGACCGGTAGATGGCAGCAAGCTCCGTCTTCACCTGATCGGGCAGGTCGGCTGCGAACAACGATGGCGTTTGAGGCGAAATATTTTGAGAAGAAGCAAAAGGCTTGCTCTGAGAAGCAAAAGGCTTGTGAAAGAACAAATACGGTTACTCATATGTGAAACAAAGTACAAACCCTTCAAAACTTCCCTCACCGAGCAGCACAACGTTACCATCCCAACCACTCTGAACCCCTTCACTCTTATTCCCATCGCTCACAATCCCATCACCCCATGTACTCACCGGAGGCGTTTCTATCTTTGTGCGACGTCTTCATCAATGCTCCTCCCGGGGACAGATCACCCAGGACGCTGACGGCCGTCTGAGGGTCTAACACCTGTCGGAATACACGGTCAGATCACAGTTGGCGCGCTAGGGAACGAACGAGAAAGGACAGCTACTACAGGGCATCCTAGTGCGGCGGAGCTGATGGTCAGTAGTGGGCTCAATCGATGGTAGACGGACCGTCGGCGGTACTAGTCAGAAAATAAGTGGGCACATTAGTATGGTGGAATTGTCTTACTCTAGCCATCATGAAAACTGCATAAATGACTAGCAAGCTCGCGTAGTCACCTCCACAAAACGATAGAGAACATCCGAAATGCCCACGTCAATTCAACAGTAAGAAAAGAAGTCAGGGTTGTAATCCTATCACGTAATAGCCTAACGCATAACTAGCTCAACAATCTCACCCCCGTGGCCTGCTCCGTCCACCTCTTCCGTCCAGTCCCGAAGCCTCACCGACCTTATTGGTGAAGGGCCGCCAGTGGAGGACGTTTTCTCTGAGCCGGCGGGCGGCGCTGGCCGAGGGTGGCTCGCTGCCCAGCTGTGCCAGGTCCGGGGTGGGTCCGCTGAGGTACCGCTCCACCTTGGTGAGACTAAGCGGCTGGCCGGCGGACGGTGGCGCCGCCTCGAGGTCCTCGTAACAGGTGCGCTCCTCCAGACGAGCCTGGCCGAGGGACAGAGACGAGGGAATGAGAGATAGGGTTAGAGATGACGAGAAGAGATAGGAGGGTCAGAGATGGGGATATAAATCGGAAAAGTTACCGAGTCTGGAGACGGACCACGCAGAATGCAAGAAAATATAAATGGATGTCAGACAAGAAGGGTAGAAACAGGTAGAAGTTAGATTAGAGCAAATATTTATGTATGAGAGACGAAAGGGAAGAAACGGAAAAGGACTGATGCACAAGCATAAAAACGGATGTGTCAGACTAACAGAGGGGTCAACAACGAAACCAGAGCTAGATCGCATTTCGTGCAACACAGTGGCAAATGACAACGGGCCGCTGCCTCGCAAATGACTAGCTCTAACGCACAAGAAAGCCTCAACATTCAACCTAACGTTACCGATAGGTAGAGCTCACCCTCTTGGCGGCGGGGTCCCTCTCGGCCGGCGGTGCCGCTGAGCTGGCCTCTCCGTTCGACTGGCCGTTCTGCTGGGGTTTGGCCGGAGTCGCTGCCGCCGCCGCCACACCCTCTGGGGTCAAACTCGCCTTCAGAACGTTTATTGAGTGCTGGTTAAACCTGTCGGCAGGGGGGAATGAACAGCTGGTCAAATATGAGAGATTATGAAATGGATAACAATACCCGATCAGTGACCAGCGAATAAGCAATAGACTTTCACACCAAGGAGAAGTTATCTAGCACCCGACAGTCTTTCTCCCGATATCCACCCGGCCGCTGCTGTGGAGTCTCCTCGTGAAACGAAACGTCCTGCACTCCCGCCCTTTCTGTCTCATCATGCGAAAGAGAAGACACCTGCAAAAAATCAAACGACACCAGACCACTATGCTCACAGCCTGATAATGCTAACGACAAGACCGCTACTCCAGCTTCGCCAAGTACAAGGTCGCATCATGTCAGGGTCGCTTCCCTCCGCTCCCAGCCCGCTCACCATCTTATCACACTACCGGCAAGATCACTAAACTCTCAGCTACCGCCGCCCGCTCACCGTCTGATCATGCTGACGGTGGCCGTGTTGGTCTGGCCGACTCCGACCGCGCTGCTGTCGCTGCCGTAGCCATCGCCGACCGTCGAGTCGGTCATCCTCCGCAGGTCCAGCATCGGGTCGTCCAGCTCCTCCTGGAGCTCCTGCTGGATCACTGCCGCGTAGAAATGAGGCAGGATGGGGAGGTAAGTCAGTGACAGAATGTGGTAAAGTGTGTGAAGAAGCAGAATCGATCAGCGTTTAGTAAACGGCCCAGAGTGCCGTAGAGCGGCGTTACAGCCTTTAGCTCAAATTAATTCAAGTTGCGTTCTTGGAAGAAGAAGAATAAGAAGAAGAAGAAGAAGAAAAAAAAAACAATTAAATATTGAATCCAACGATTACTGGACAACTGGGAAAAACCCAACATCCGCTCACCCGAGCCATCACAGTGTTCCCTTCATACTTCTCTCTCCCACCGCGGTTACCTTTCTCATCCTGTCGGGCGCAGTCGGTAAACAGGTCCTTGCTGCTCAAATTGATCCGATCCCTATGGAAATAGTGTGACTGGAAGAAGCGCGTCCAAAACTCGGACTCCGACATTCGGCCCGGCACGTACTCGAAGAACTTCCGCCGTACCGCCGGGTACGTCTTGTAGATGGAGTTGATGGTGTCTACGTTCAAATTGTACTTCAGCCCGTTACAGCCGTCCGTTTGTGGTTTTATGTCGGCCTGTTGGAATACAAACAGTTAGAGGCTGTGGTTCGTCCGGGCTGATACGGTGCTGGGAAGGGAAAGACGGAATAAGTATCGGACGAAGAGCGACAACGAATTTGCTTACACCGTGCTTCTTTTACAAAAATAATGCACTAATAATAACATGGTGCGTAGTTGACATATTACGGACGAACCTACACGTTCGTAAGAGTAATGACTAAGGATATGTAAACCGTGGTCACGGCACGGCATTACGAAGCACAGGGTCAAGGCCGGGCAACGAAACTTCCACGAACATTAAGCTCCATCATCTAAGCCACGATCATTCGCACGCTAACAACGCTCCATCTGCAGCCCATTTGGGTCAGATGTCGCACTGATTCTGCCACTCCCCGTCCACCAAACACGTCACGTTTGAGCGACCCAAGGTCGTTATCGAAGTCCCGGGTACGGTTCTACTGCCACCTGACCCGTAACACACGGGCCGCGGACCGACCACCGGGCGGGGAAATACGCAGTAGCGACGGGAGTGAGGAGGTGTTGAAAAGGCATAGTACCGCCCCACGCTCTTAGAATTACTAGCCAACGGCTCATGGTGGGGTGTCATAAACAGAAATGTTACGGCGCCATTTAGACCCAATTACCGGTAGTTCAGCAAATGTTCTGCAGAAATACAAGACTAAAACTGCAA